ATGCAGTTCTTACATCTTGCTATCTTATTAATCGTATGCCATCTTCAGCTATCCAGAACCAAGCTCCATTCTCTGTCATATTTTCCCACTTACCTTTGTTCTCTCTTCCACCCCATATCTTTGGAAGCACTTGTTTTGTCCATAACCTTACTCCAGGAACAGATAAGTTAGCTCCTTGTGATCTTTAGTGCGTATTTCTGGGTTTCTCGAGAACACAAAAGGGGTATCGATGCTACTCTTTTGACCTCCAGCGGTACCTTATGTCCGCTGATGTTACTTCTTTGAAATCCAGTCATACTTCACAAGTTCAGGTCATCACTTAGATATTTCTGAGGTACTACCAGTTTCATCTTTTGGAAATTCAGTCACTCCAACTCCACCACCTACAGCTCCAGTTGTAGCCCCACCACCTATAGCTCCAGTTCCTCCACATAATCCAGTTCAACCTTTTGCAGCTCCACCATTCTTGACTATCATTGTCGTCCACATCTAGCATCAGGCCCAGGTGATTCACGCCCCGCATCAGATTTTGCACCTACTACGGACTTGTCTCCTCTTAGTCAACTAATTGCACTCCACAAAGGTGTACGATCCACACTTAATCCTAATCCCCACTATGTCGGTTTAAGTTATCATCGCCTGTCTTCACCTCATTATACTTTTATATCTTCTTTGTCCACTGTTTCTATCCATAAGTCTACAGGTGAGGCACTATCTCATCCAGGATGGCGACATGCTATGATTGACGAGATGTCTGCTTTACATGTGAGTGGCACTTGGGAGCTTGTTCCTCTTCCTGCAGGTAAGTCTATTGTTGATTGTCGTTGGGTTTATGCAGTCAAAGTCGGCCCGGATGGCCAAGTTGATCGGCTTAAGACTCGTCTTGTTGCAAAAGGATATACTCAGATTTTTAGGCTTGATTATAGTGATACTTTCTCCTGTAGCTAAAGTAGCATCTGTTCGTCTCTTTTTGTCCATGACGTCATTGGCCTCTTTATGAATTAGACATTAAGAATGCTTTTCTCCGCGGTGATCTTGAGGAAGAAGTTTATATGGAGCAACCACCTGGTTTTGTTGCTCAGGGGGAGTTTAATGGTTGTGTGTGCAGATTGCGCAGGTCACTATACGGTTTGAAACAGTCCCCTCGAGCTTGGTTTGGTAAGTTCAGCACAATTATTCAGGAGTTCGGCATGACTCGTAGTGAGGCTGATCACTCTGTGTTTTATCGGCATTCTGCTCCTAATCTGTGTATTTATCTAGTGGTTTATGTTGATGATATTGTTATTACTGGTAATGATCAGGATGGTATTACTAATCTGAAGCAACATCTCTTTCAGCACTTCCAGACTAAGGATCTGGGCAGATTGAAGTATTTTCTAGGTATTGAGGTCGCTCAGTCTAGCTCAGGTATTGTTATTTCACAGCGGAAATATGCCTTAGACATTCTTGAGAGACTGGAATGATGGGCTGCAGACCTATTGACTCTCCTATGGATCAGAATGCTAAGCTTATGCCTGGACAGGGGGAGCCTCTTAGAGACCCAACGAGATGTAGGAGGTTGGTTGGCAAATTGAATTACCTCACAGTGACTAGACCTGACATTTCTTTTCCGGTAAGTGTTGTAAGTCAGTTTATGGATTCACCCTGTGATAGTCACTGGGATGCAGTTGTTCGCATTCTTCGGTATATAAAGTCGGCTCCTGGCAAAGGATTACTATTCGAGGATCGAGGCCACGAGCAGATTGTTGGGTACACAGATGCTGATTGGGCAGGATCACCTTTTAATAGACGTTCTACGTCTAGATATTGTGTTCTAGTAGGAGGTAACTTGGTCTCGTGGAAGAGCAAGAAACAGAATGTAGTTGCTCGATCTAGCGCCGAAGCCGAATATCAGGCCATGGCTATGGCGACGTGTGAGTTAGTTTGGGTCAAGCAGTTGCTCAAGGAGTTAAAGTTCGGAGAAATCAGCAAGATGAAACTAGTGTGTGATAACCAAGCTGCTCTTCATATTGCGTCAAATCCGGTGTTTCATGAGAGGACTAAACATATTGAGATCGACTGTCACTTTATCAGAGAAAAAATACTTTCAGGAGATATTGTTACAAAGTTTGTAAAGTCAAATGATCAACTAGCAGATATTTTCACTAAATCTCTTACTGGTTCTCGTATTAGCTACATGTGTAACAAGCTCGGTACATATGATGTGTATGCACCGGCTTGAGAGGGGTGTTAGTTTACAGATATGTATAGTGTAGTCTTGCCCCACATTGGAAGAGAAGTAATATCTCTTTGTAGTGTATAGCTATAAATAGGGACCTCTTGTATTGTATTTATTATCCAATATCAATAACATATTTTCTCCCGTGCTTTCTCACACTCCCAAAAGTGATCATATTCAAGAAGCCATAGATAATATGGATTTAACCCATTTTTTGTCCATATTAAATATGGGTCAGGTGGGATAATTTATCCGTTTTCGACCGCCCATATCCGACCCGCCTATTTGCCACCCCTACTTTCAACTAACTGACAGCAAGCAAATTAAGACAGGTGTTTATGCTTGCTTGCTTCTCCGAACAAAATGAAATAAGTTCTTAGGCAATAAAATTACTATGTCTCCGACCAATTCAACACTTAGATAGTGGAAAATTGAGTAGTGATGCAAAAGAACATATAATAAAGTTGAAAAGATTGTCAAGTAAAAATAGTGCAAGGAACAATATCTTTTAAAAATGCTATTTCCATTTAGCCAAAAAAAGAGGAGAGAATAATTACCTTGTAGTTCCAGAAGGAAGTGAAGACAAAATACATCTCAATGAAAATGCTCCCAAAGGGAAGAAGACCTCCCATCAAAGAAATTACAGATGGTGTGAGGTACCATTTCTTCTCAGGGATAGGACGGGGTATGGTCTTAACACGGCACGGATTGTTTGGCGTACCACTCCAGTTTCTTCCTACAACAGTACCAAGAAGCGCCAGAGGGAATGAAATAAAAGCCCAAATAACAAAAATAACCACCATTGTTCCAAAGGGAATAGCAGCTAACGATCCATAAAATATAGCAATCGTGTTTAGAATGAACCCAATGCCAAAGCACATAAAGGGGAAAAGTGACGCTGTAAGGATCATCGACTTTATCCACTTTTTACCTGACAATATTCAAGGGTAAAAAAACAACCTTCAATCACTTAATGATTAGAGATAATTGATTGAATCAACTGAAGAGACGTCAGTTGCAGAAAGATAACATACCACCATTACGAGAATACAGGCCACCACTCACGTATCCGGCAATGAATGATGTAAGAGCATAACATACGATAAAGGTTGTAGTAATAGCTCCTCTCCTGAGCAGCATAAAGTACAGCAGATAAGCACAATATTGAAGTATTAGGGGGGTGGGGGGTGGGGGGAATATACTCCCTCAGTATGTGACATTATTTAACCATGGACAGTTCTACAATATTAATGTGATTTTTATACTATATAGGTAGCAGTGTAAGAAATTTAACTAATATTTGAAACCTTAGCTTACTGAAAAAAAAATCAAATCCAAACTATATTTAATTAGACAAATTTGAGTTCTTTAAACTTGTTCTAGTTGAATAAGATTTATATTATTACCCAAAATAGTAAAAAATGTTATACCCACATGAGAAGCACTGTAAATGCCAACTACTGGTGATAAAATAGTAAAGATTTTAAACACTGACAAATTTGATTCACTAGGAAATATCCAAATCCATGTACTGGAACNATTTAAATTTTTGATAAACTATCCAAAAATTTGCCAGACATGAGAAAAGGCCTCAAATAGTACCTTAAATTTGGGTAAAGACTCAAAATTGTCCTTTATGTATGCACTGACTGGAGCAGTAACAGTTTCTAAAAATGGTGCACTTTTGGTCCTGGTGGATGGAATCTATTAGCTACTAATATCACCCCCTACTTTTTGCCATTCAATACAAAACAACCCATTCGTAAACAAAAGCACCTCACTCTCAAAGTATTGACTTGAATGGAGTACTTTCATCTTTCATGAATCACAAAAAGATTGTTGCTGGTGATTCCATTATGTTCCTGAGGTCCGAAAATAGGGACCTTTCAAGTAAATAAGGGAGTGCACTGCAGGTGGATTAAAGACTTCTTCTGGGTGGAATTAGCTGGGGGAGAATAGATTGGTGCCACACCGAGCGCAGTGTTATTAAAAGCGACCGCTTCCTCGCTTAAAGCGAGAAGCGATGCGAAGCGAGGCATCTGGCGCTTCTCTGATCTGAAGCGTATCAGGTACACAAAAGCGATTGCTTCCCCCGGAAAAGCGAGAAGCGAGGAAGCGAACAAAGCGACAGAAGCGAGCGCTTCTCTTTATAACTGGGCTGCCAACGTTAATTAATTAAAAAGGCTCTTTTTTTTAACTTCAAGATCATCAAGTTTGGTCCCAGGTATGTGGTTTCTTCCTCCTCCTCCTTTTTCTTTCACTGTTTCAGTGTCCAAATAGCAACGAAATGCTGGCGAAATGTTTTCCCTTCAGTTCTTTTTCTCATTCTCCTCTTCTTCTTCTTCTTCATTTTCTTTCACTGTTTTAGTGATAAATTGCAGCGAAATGCTGCCCATTTTTCGTTTCAGTTATACTGCCATTTTTTGGCATACTTACTGCCATTTTTTTCAGTTCATTTATTCTTAGTTGTCTATGCAGTATTTATTTTATTGTCATTCTCCTCTTCTTCTTCTTCATTGTCTATGCAGTATTTATTTTAATATTTATTTTTAAATTCTGCTTCACTTCAAAAAAGCAAGCGCTTCGCTTCTCGCTTTAAGTGAAAAGGGGCTTGTCGCTTTTCCTCGCTTCACGCTCTTCACAACACTGACCGAGAGTTTTCCACATTCCTCAGAGAAGACAAGAATAAATTGAATGAAAACAATACTGGGTGCTTGATAAGCAGGGGAAAGGTGTGAAGGCAGAATCAGTACTGGAAAGAATGCAGCCAATGAAACAGCCTTTGAGGTGATTTACTACCATTGTGTGAAAGCAGCATTGTAGATCTGTCGGCGATGGCTTTTGAAACTGAATAACTTTTCATGGATAAGCTGGCTAATTAGAACTAAACCATCTTTTCAGGTTGTTGATCCACTCAATCTGGAGGCTTCTTCATATTTGTTTTTTTCTAGGAAGAAATGACCCAAAGCCACATAGCTTACGCAAGAAGATCATGTCATTCTTTTTATAAGTAATAATAAAGAATTTTATTATTTGTAGTGTGCAGTTACAAAAAGTAAATATAGCATGAAAGAAGATGCAAAAAATCTACAAAAGCTCTTCCAACCCGAAAGCCAACAATTGGCTAAAAATTAAAGTCGGCCAAGAACAACACTAGATGGTATCTTTAATTGTGTAAACAGAGGAGAGCCATCTCTTGTAAAATGTATAGCAATTTAATTTTGTAAACAGAGGAGACCCATCTCTTGTAAAATGTATAGCAAGTTCGGGAAGTTTTTATGGTGAATAGTGAGTGTCTGGTAGCAGAAACTAACATGGCCCCTTTTTCGGGAAAAAAAGGTAAAGAAAAACATGGCCGGTTTCACTAAGAAAGGTGAAATGTGTTGTCGGGGTTTTTCTTTTCTTTTTTTTTTTGAAGTAAGGTGTTATATTACTGGCATGAAGAAGATGCAATAAGTACAAGAGTAGATGTGTTAGCGCCAGTTATAAAAAGTTCTATATCTAGTGCAGGGAGCTAACCAGAAAATTGGCTGTTGGGCCAGAATGAGAGAGCTAATGAAGTCTAGAAAGGGGAACAGGAACACATTATTTACAGGGGATAGATTACTCCAACCAAAAAGATTCATTAGGCTTCTAGCTTTTACAGATCAGTTAGGAGTTGAAATGCCATCAAAGCATCTGCAATTGCAATTTCTATCAGGAAAGGGTTATTCTGTATTGGGCGGCATTGGGCAGCAACAAATACGGGTCACATAAACAACTAACAAGTTCCATCTATCAGGACCAAAGTGCACCATTTTTAAAACTAGAAGGACTACTAGTGCCCCACTATATATTTAAGGTAAGATTTTGCATCAACGCTCGAACTTAAGGGACTATGGGCTTTTCTCACACAGACATCATGCAAAGACATGATTCAAGAGAAGAAGAAACATTACCAGAGACTCCAGATCATCATCTTCACGGGCATATTTAGCATAATCATTACGAAGAGTGCGCATCAGAATCATAGACACTAAGCCAGTGAGGAAAATAACCATCATGAACGAATTGAAAACAGAGAACCAGTGAATCTGCATAAAGAATAAGAAGTTAACAGAGGCTGGCAACAGAAAGAGTAACTTGGAGATACTCGTGTGCAGATTTATCCGTTAGTCATTTGTTTCAACAAGGACCAGATGACAATGAAGTTTCAAAACACACATGAGACAAGAAAGCCACAAGGAATTTAAATTCTACAACTTCTCTCGGGGCAACAAAGTATTGTCTCCAATCATATCAGTAAAGAAAATGTGAACAGTTATCTGTTGGAAATAAGTATGGAATTGTCCACTGGACGCATTTTCAGTTATCAAAGTAGTTCTTTCATATAATTGACCCGGCCATAGCTCATAGAGGATAGAGCCAAATGAACAGAGCATAAGACTGCAATCACCATTTCATTGTTCAGTTGATTCTTTCAATAAAAGCGATACGAGTGCAAGGTGAGGATCATCGATGGTGATTGGCATGTACCTGGTGTTCAAAAAAGGGGTAATCCAGGTATACGTCAAACCGGCGTTCATAACTAATATTTGTGGGAACCCATTTTACAGAGTACGTCATGCCCAAGAGTCTTCCTTCCTCCAATGGCTTTGGGCTCTCTTGAGTTAGGTTGACATGAATGATCTGTCGGAGTTAAAAAGTTAACTCAGCATAGCAACATTAAGTTGCAATAGGTATGAGAAGTGACCACGAGAGTGAAGATCAATAATACATTACCTGGTCTCCATTGTATTGAATAAGAAAATTCTTGTGTGTGTAGAGCACATGCTTGGTGTCTCGGCTTCTATCAGGAAGCACTTCACCGACGAAACCTGAATTTCCATTACACCATAATGAATTTCAGTTATGTTAAACAGTATCTAGTTATCAGAATTCACAAGACAAAAACTAGCTGAGCACATACCCCATAATGGCAAATCGTCTGATGCAGGAAGCCATAAGTCATAACCACAAAATACATACAGATCACAGGATACAGTAAAAAGGTCAGTAACTTAGCAGGTCTCATCTAGCAGCCATGTGTTACTGTTAAAAAAGAACTTTAAAAAAGAAAAAACCATAGGACATATAAAAAAAAATATACCCATAAAAAACTCAAACCAATATGAATTTTCGATTGCATCCTTAAATTGTGCCACTTTTGCTGCATCCAATGCAAGATCACAAATTGTGCTTTTCTCCACATCTCCTGTTGTATTAAAAACGGAACATGGTGAAAAAGATGCGCATTTGAGGAATAACAAATCCATTGTTAAATTTCAAAGAAACATACTTTTGAACTTTATGTCAATTCGGCTATCAATAAGCTCATTCCCACCAAGAACCTCGCCAAGGCCACCCCACTTGTGACCACCATCACCGGGGTGACAGAATGGAAGGCTGTAATAGTTGTACGTCTCTTGTGGATTATTATAGGGTCCCACTTTATTTACCCAAAGAGTGACAGGTTCATCTGCTTGATACTGCAGCAAATAGCAGAAAAGACATACATACCATCAGATAAACTCAAACCACGTTCTTACCAGCAAAATTTTTGTGAAACCAGATTTTCCTATCTGAGTTTAGAGACATTAAAAGAGACAGTCTTTAGGCTCTCATAAGATATGCTAACCGAACAGCACTCGCGTTGATTGTTGAATGTTAATTAGTATCAACTATCGCATATGTTTTATTAGGAGGGCAGCAGAAGGTATAGAAGAATAGAAGAACTAGTAGCAGAAGACATGGTGAAACAAGAAATATTCAAAGGAAGGCGATGAGTAAATGCGCCAGTTTTGTGGTTACAGAGTACAGGGTATGGACTAAGGAGGAGTGAAATAAAGGTTTCATACCCTTCAACTTTTGAAAAGATTAGAATTATAAGAAGATATATCTGGTTTAGTCAGTTAAATGGGAGAGCTTATCTATCGATCTTCCTTTCCATTTTGCATTCTCATTCCCTTCTTTGATCTAAACATATTAAAGAGCCGAAGACACTGTTTTGAGGTGAAAAAGCTTAAGGCAAGGTAATCCACAAGTGAAACGAGATTTCAAGCAATAATGATTTATAGTTTCTCAATTAAAAATAACCTCAAAAACAGAATAATCAGGTAAAATTGAGAACAGATTCAGAGAGAAAGGGCCAAGGGGAAACTTTGAATTCCGTTGTTATACTTCCAGCAAACATAAGAGTCCCAATCAACACATATACACATAAAAAGCGTCAAACAAAATGCTCTAGCCAGATAAGAGAAGAGTTACTACTCTAACCTTTTTCTCAACAATGCTCAAAATCATTAACAGTATGAATGTAAACACATTAACAGTGTAAAAAGAAAATGATCATAAAGCATCCATTTTTTAAGATTCAAATCATTATCCAACTAGACCTTCAGCATCAGATCATTATAATATAAAAGTTCAAAATTTTCTTTTATAAAGCTCAAAATTATTACACGCTTAGCACCTATAAACATAAAATCTTAATAAAATGACCTTAAAACATCCAGTCTGTAACCTTCAAATCACTACACAAATACAATTTCATCAAAAAGCATTATCATACAAAGTCTCTATTTTTTTCCACAAAGCTCAACTTCACTAAAAACTAAGTATGTACACACATAAACAGCAGAAAAGAAAAGAAGAAGCTACAGGTTCGGCGAAACTGATATATGTGTTAAGAAACCTACTAAATTTGTACAAATATTAAATGTCGAACCCAGTAACTCAAATGGTCAGTGGGTTCAGTGGCATCCAGAATACTTAAAGTTCAAATCCTGGATCCGCTGTGACTACAGAAAATGCTGTTACATAAATAAATAAAAAAGAAAAAAGAAACACATCATAGAGTTAACTCAAGATCCAAGAATGGTGAACCCCAAAAACAAAAACCCATTTAAATTTTCATAAACTAAAGTGCATCAAATTATTAATTCACTGAAATTCCAAGATTTTCAAAATTTTCTACCTTGGCAAAAGATGGGTATGCAAGGAACAGAGAGGAGATGATGAAAATAAAGAGGGATCGGACGGTGGAGAGCATTGCTGTGAGATCTTGAAAATTGATTCTTGAAACGTCTTTTTTGTTTATCAATTACGGGTTCTTTATGCTCTGTATCTTTTATTACTGTTCGACAGAACGTGAGCACTCTCTCTCGCTGTGTTCTTTGGATCTGAAGTTATGAATTGGTGTTTGGGAGGAGGGAGGAATTTGAGAGCTCAACGACTCGACAAAGCTGCAAATCTGAGTTTTTGTCGTTTCAAGGAAACTGTTTGGAAAAACCCAAAGAAAAGAAAATGAATTAAAAGGAAAAAAGAAATTGTGAGCAGTGGGCTAAAAGGTAATTACAGTAACTTATAAAAAAGTACTAATACCACGTAAAACTCTAATTAAACCCTGTCTCAAGGTCCGAGTGACCTTTGTGTTTTGGCAAAGTAGTGTGAGGAAAATAGAGAAAAAATAAATATTTGAATTTCTCTTTTTTACAATGAATTATTGTCCATATTAGAAGAGAAAAAGAGATTTGATGAGTTTATATATAATTGTACTTCTTCTAACTCTTAAAGAGTTGAGAAGAAGCAAGTCTCACGCGCTCTACTTTGCATTTTGTCTTTTTTGGATCAAATTTATTTGTTAATATAAAGATTACACTAATACTTTTAATCCAAATAAATCGTTTCCGTAACGATAATTTAGTTCTCCCTCTCGTTATTTGTTCAGACATTTTATGGAATAGTCGTTACATATAACAGCCACTTTGGAGTGGTAGCCTGATATGAAAGGTTGCATCTCTTTGTTTGGATCCCACTTTTTGGCTATAATTACACGTCAAAGCACTCTTTTTCCCTCTTGCATTGTTTTAATAAAGAAAAAGTAATTGTGATTTGTTGCTGCCTTATTGAGTGTGTTGAACACTTGTGTTTGAAGTACCATTACATTAGTGAGGTTAATCGGTTCTATCCTATAAGAAAATAATTCTAAATCTTGCATATTAGGAGAAGATTAAGTTCCTTAAGGATACACTGTGAATTTAGTGGGCTCGGATTTATTTCTATTGCTTCTATATTTATGTTTTTGTGTTTGTTTACAGGTTGTGAATTTTTTTTTTTTAATACAGATTACTAACAGTATGCTCAGAGACAGAGCTAGATCATTAGTTACGTATTCGGACGAACCCAATAATTTTGCTTAGATCTAGTATTTGTATTAAATTATTTATAAAATATGTATAAATCTATTTACGGACTCAATAGCTAAGGCTTCATTTGCTTGCACTTAATTGAGGTCTGAGCCTTTAATCATTCAGATCTCAAATATTAAATGTGTTTGTTTTTAAAGTCTAAATTTTAATCATTCAAATCTTAATCATTAAGTATTTTTTTACTTCACAACTACTTAATGAGTCTGAATAAGTCTGTATGATTAAGATCTATAACAAATACTTAATTTCATTAAGATGCTATCATCCACATTCATTATTAATTTCTACCATCGCCTACCATTATCAACTACCACCATCATTACCATCTTTAACCATAGCCGTGACCACTACCACCACCCTACCACCATAATCCTCAACCATAACTATAACGACCCGACTTGTCGTTTTGAGAATTTACGTTCCGTTCAGTGACTTAAGGTCCCGAGCAACTTCGTAATATGTATTATGATCCGCGTGTGGAATCGAGTTTGGTTTTCGGAAGATTCAGAATTTAATTGAAAGAACAATTCTTATTTATAAAGCTTGAATTTATAAAGTTTGACCGGAGATTTGACTTTTGAGAAAACGACTCCGAAATAGAATTTTTATGATTCCAATAGATTCGTATGGTAATTTCGGACTTAGGCGTATGTCCGGATTTGGATTTAGAAGTCCATATGACAATTCGACGCACTTTGGCGAAAGTTGAAAAATGGAAAATTTTTACTAAGTTTGACCGAGGAGCTGACTTTTTGATATCGGGGTCGGAATCCGATTTTGAAAATTGAAATAGGCCTGTTATGTCATTTATGACTTGTGTGCATAATTTGAGGTCAATCGGACTTGATTTAATAGGTTTCAGCATCGAATGTAGAAGTTAGAATTTCTTAGTTTCATTAGGTTTGAATTAAGGTGCGATTCGTCGTTTTGATGTCGTTATATGTGATTTGAGGCCTCTCGAGTAGGTCTGTAACATATTTTGGAACTTGTTGGTATGTTTGGACGGGGTCCCAAGGGGCTCGGGTGAGTTTCAGAGTAGTTTCGGATCATTTTTAGTTGCTGGTTTTTTGCCACAGAGGTATGCATCGCGATTGCGTACTAACGGGCGCGATCGCTAAGAGCAATTTTGCTATTTGGAAACTATGAATCGTGATCGCGAAAGCCGTTTCGCGATAGCGTAGAGGAAAACTTCTGCTGCAATGACCTAACTTTGGAAGCTTATATCTCGCAATCTATAAGGAATTTGGAGATGATCCAAAAATAAAAGTTGTAGCTCTTTGTGTCTAGTTTTCAGAAAATTAAACTATTTGTCATTTGAAATTTTTTACAAACAGTTATGACCATTATACTAGAGGTTATCTGGAAGAGTTGAGGAGTTTGTGATTCGCGATCGCGAAAAGCAAATTTTGAGTTGGAAAATTTTGTGCTTCGCGATCGCGAAGAATAAATGCCTGGACAGAAGCTATATTTTGAGGTTTCGGCCATTTTAACATATTTGAAGCTATGGAGCTCAGATTGAAATAATTTTTGAGGCGATTTTCAGGAGATTTTCAAGGGAAACATCGGGGTAAATATTCTTAACTCAATATTGGTCAAATTGCCCGAATCCATGGTTATTTTTAACATTTAATTGGTGATTTAAGTTGGAAAATTGTGAAAACCCTTTTGGTTTAATTTGAAGAATTGAGGGTCGAGCTAAGGTCGGAATTTGGTAAAATTTGTACTCGTGGTTGAATGGACGTTCATATTTTGTAACTTTTGTCGGGTTCCAAGACATGGTCCCCACGGGTAATTTTTGAGTTAAATTTCGGATTTTTGTTCGAAAATTAGTATTTTCACATGGAATTAATTCCAATAATTTGTATTGACAAGATCAAATTAATTGTGACTAGATACGAGGCTTTCGAAGGCCAATTCGCGAGGCAAAGGCACAGCGGAGTAAAGAATTTTACGGTTTGAGGTAAGTATCTTGCCTAACCTTGAGTGGGGAAAATTACCCTAGGCATTGAGTCTTATGTGAAAATTGTGTAATTGAAAACTATGTACGCGAGGTGACGAGTACGTACTTGGTTTATATTTGCAAATTACATTGGTTAAAATTCGTAGACGCCCTTATGTATTAAATTGGAAAATTGTTAGAACATAGTAAATCCTTGTTTGTTGGATTTATTTTTATATGATAATTTGGTGTGATTGCCACCTTGATTTTTATGTGAATCCTGTGTTTTTGTTGAGTTGATATTTCCTGGAGATAATTTCATTATGGTTTATTCATTTGTAAATAATTTATTAAATAAATTTAAATGAGGCATTAATCTATTTGCCAAAAATTTGGATTAAAAAAGGTGTTGTTCCTTGATGAATTACTTTCCAGTTCATGTTATTGAAATTGGTATTGAGATATAAAGGCCGTAAATCATATTGAGGCAAAATGTTAAATTGTGAAATATTATTTTGTTGAGTTGTTCACTTCCGGATATTTTTGTTAAGATTTTATACACAATATGGTCGAGCCATGGGCTCCTTATTGTGAAAAATAATGTATTGTTGATTTCTGTGACAAGTTGTGATATTTGAGCACTTGATGTGCAATTTGTGATATATTGTAATATTTGAGCACTTGATGTGCAATTTGTGATATGTTGTAATATTTGAGCACTTGGGGTGTAATTTGTGATATGTTGTAATATTTGAACACTTGGGGTACAATTTGTGATATGTTTTGATATTTGAGCACTTGATGTACAATTTATAATATGTTGTGATATTTGAGCACTTGAGGTGCAAGTTGTGTTATGCTATGATAATCGAGCACTTGAGGTGCGAGTTGTGATATATTGTGATATTGATACGCATGCGGTGGTATAAGGTCTGGGTATTGAAACGCATGCGGTGAGATAAGGGGGGTTTGATACGCGTGGCTAGTAAGGGAACTACTAGAAGCCATGCGGTGTGATAAGGGTGGCTAAAATGTGTGATGCTATTTCGGAAAAAATGATTTTAAAAACTAAATGTGAAGGCTCCCGCGGTGATATAAGGAAAGATTAAAATTTATTTATGATTTGAGACTACGAGGCGGTACCTCGAAAGTGCCCTTTGTTGATATTTTTCTATGGCTGCACTTGCCTTTGGTTATTTTATTTTTTCGTGATATGTAAATTCTTGTGTTCTTCCGTGATGCATTATTTACTTTTATTATGTATTTTGTATTCCTTGTTGTATTGTGTCAGCTTTGGCTCTTTGTACAAGGCTCTGAGGATTTGTGTTTCTGGTTTTTACTGGTTTTCGAGGTTTGAGTTATTTTGAATAAAAGAAATTGCTATTATATTTTAATTTAATAAATTTTACATCCAAATCAGTAGCTATCGGTTGCTTCATTTTAATTGAAATGTCATTTTCTTCACCCAAACGAGTTCAAAAATAAATTAATTTCTTTGTTGATTCCTTACTTGGTTTAAAAATTATAAACTTACTTTATTAAAAATAAATTGATCATGCGGATCTTATATACATTGATATTTTGGTATGTTAGTTGTCCGTGCGGTTGTAATAGAGATATGGGCATGAGGTGCCGTGAAAAAATAAAAGTGGACTGAGATCCGTATTTTATGATTATGAAATGAGGTGTCACATAGTGACTTTTATTTGAAAGAATTATACTCGAAGGACATTTATTTGAAGGAATTATATTCGAAAAATTTTTATTAAAAAAAAAAATTATATGTGAAAGATTTAGATTTGAAGGACTTAATTAATTGGTTGTAATTATGTTCCTTATTCGTTTGAGCAATATTTATGGTGTTCTTGTTGCCTTGTTGTTCATATCCTTGATTGATCTTTGTTGCCATCACGACTATTTATTTTCTATTATTTTTTGAATGCTATATTGCACAAGTTATTTGACTAGTAAGTATCTTGACTGTACCTCATCACTACTCCACCGAGGTTAGTCTTGATACTTACTGGGTACCGACTGTGGTGTACTCATACTGCACTTCTGCATATTTTTGTATAGAGCCAGGTATTAGAGATATCAGACTCGGGCAGAGTTAGGGTGTTGATCGCAAGGACTCAAGGTTAGAGTTGCTTGGTCATCGCAGTCCCTTGGAATCTTTCCATTATATTGTACTGTCAACTCTTATTCAAACAATATTGTATATTCGATCCTTGAGATCATTCCATGTGTTCAGTTAGAGTTCGTGACTCGGTATTACCAGTCGTGGGAGGTTGTTATAATTAGTTCCGTTGTTGGTTTCAACACTTGTATTAAATTATATGTTAAAAAAATAGCTCGAAATGTAATTGTAATAGGCTTACCTAGCCTTAGAGACTAAGTGTCATCACGACGCCTGTGGTGGGATTTTGGGTCGTAACTTCTTTCATTCATGTCATGCGGAATTTATTGATTTTGGAATTTGAGCCTTTGTATCTCTACTCTCTCACAAATGGTGAGGACACGTGCTACCGAGTCAGCTGAACAGACACCCGCGCATTCTGCTAGGGCCGCAAGAGGCCAGGGCCGAGGTAGAGGCCGAGGTGGAGGCCGAGGAAGGGCACATACCGCGGCTAGAGCACCGGTCAGGAGCAACATATCAATGGTGGCAAGCTTATGAAGGGGGTAGACTAACCGAAACACCACCACCAACTTGGGCTCAATTTTCAGAGATGTTTTTGAAAGAGATTGTTCCCCAGACTCTCTGGGATGCGTGGCGCACAGAGTTTGAATGATTGCGTCAGGGCACCATGACGGTGTCAGAATATTCTATCAGGTTCAGTGAGTTAGCCCTTCATGCACCTATCTTGGTTCATACAGTTAGAGAGTGAGTCCGCAGATTCATTGAAGGGCTAGATTATGATTTTAAAATATGTATGGATCGAGAGTTGTAGACTGACATTCCATTTCAGCAAGTAGTAGAGATTGCCAGAATGTCAGAACGTGTTCGAAGTGAGGAAAATGAGCCTAAGGAAACCAAAAGGTCTCGGAACTCTGGAGGATTCAGTGGATTCTACTCTGTAGCTATGACTCATCATGGCGGAGGCCCGGGCAGTCAGTCAGCCCAGTCCGCAATTCAGAATACTCGTAGTGCTCCAGATAATACTTTTAGTGCACCACCGGCACAGGGTTCTTAAAGTGGTTATTCCAGTTATCCGGCACATACTCAGTATGAGCAGTCGCAGAGGGGTTATTATGAGTGTGGTGATACTAGGCACATCATGAGAAACTGTCCCAGACTTGGGAGGGGTGAATTTCATCAGAACACTCAGGCTACAAGTTTTATTTCAGTTAATACTCCACGTGCACAACCAGTTAGGAGTGTAGGACAGGCGGGTAGAGGGCGCCGAATAGGGGGAGGCCCGACCTGTTAATATAATTGATATGACTTAGCTAAGGCCAGTACACCAGATGGTGTCGTTACAGGAATGATTTAATTTATAATAAAAGGAGCAGCGGCGATGGCAGAAAATTCAACAAGGGTATTCAAACCTCTACCAGTAGGCTATGCAAGGGTGTTAAAAGTCTATTTTTAATCAATAACAAGTAATATTTTATCTTATACGTAGTATAATATTGGTGAAACGTAGCTTCGCCCCTGAAAAGGAGCACTATTCTTATTTTGATTCAATTCTGATTATCGAGGTGAGACCTCCTATCGTGCTCCATATAGGGCGAGTTTGTGATTTGTACACCACTCACGTGCTTATCCCTGTTGGAAGATTTGACGGTGTTAGCCCGTGTCTATCATGTTGTTTTGCACACTATTGAGGGCTATGAGTCCAAAAGTGACTTTCTGTTACTCAATATAATGGGTTTTGATGTAATTTCGGGATAATTGATTACAATTTTATGAATTATATGTCCTACCGGTACGGGGATTCATTATGTGTTGTGAAATTATTTCACGGAATTTATCCCGAAAATAAAGGTTCGAAATGTAATTGTAATCGGCTTACCTATTCTTAGAGACTAAGTGCCATCACGCCGCATGTGGTGTGATTTTGGGTCGTGACAATAACCACACACTCACCCACCTAAACTATCACCACCAACCACCCAATCACCATAAACCATAGACGGCACCACCCACAATCATAAACTACCACCACCCACCATCACCTTACTCAATCACAACCACAACAACTATCACTACCCACTATTATTAACTATTACTACCCATCGCCACCATCCTCAACCATAATCAGAGGCGGAGTCAGGATTTGAAGTTTATTGGTTCTGAATTTTTTTTGGGACCCATAGCTCGTCTTTGTTACTGGGTTCGCAATTAAATATTTATACATATTTAATAAATTTCTTAATAAAAATACAGTGTCTAAGCAAAAGTGACTGGGTTCGGCCGAACCCACACCTAGTAGGCTCGCTCCGCCCCTGACTATAATCGCTATCACTGTCTATCACCACTAGCTACTACCAGAACCACCACCATCAACCAAAATCGCCACTAACCACCACCTCTAGTCGGCACTCACAAGCAACTCTGTTAGCCATCATCACCACCAACTACCACACACACACGCACACACACACACACATATATATATATATATATATATGATAGAATATTAGATTAATTAGTATTTTATTTGAATTTATATTTATTAATTTTTATATAAAGATAAATTCTATATATTCAGATGTTTAATAAACAAATAGCCTTAATTATTTAGTATTCAGATCTTAAATTATATGTGTATTCAGATTCAGATGTCTTAATCTTAATACACATTTTGATATTCAAATATGTATTCTGATTGAGATATCTTAATTTTAAATAAATAAATAAGGCCTAATAGTCTGTTTGGCCAAGCTTATTTTTTAGTCAAAAGTATTTTTTTGGGACAAAAATAGCTTCTCTCTAAAAATATTTTTTTGAAAAGCGCTTTCGAGAAAAATACAGTTAAAAATATTTTTTAAAAGTTTGGTCAAACACTAATTGTTACTTAAATATTTTTCAAATTAATTAGCCAAACACAAATTTTTGGAAAAGAGTTTTTGACAAAAGTAGCTTTCTATAAGACTGCTTGTGAGTTCAACGGCAACTTACAAACTTTAAATTGTGGCACACCTCTCATCTCCATTTCCATCTCCGCCAAGCCACTTGCCAAAGGTAGGAAGTGTTCTCACACAGCTGCGATGTGTTATAAAACTAAAATTTCTCTGCTTCGACGTGCGAGTGACGCCACTAACAAGTGACAACATATACGTATATATTTAGCAAACGCCGTCAACATAGCTTTGTCAACTATTCAATTGTATGCGTGCAGTTCGAGCAGCCTAGCTTCTTCTGCTACAGAAAATGGATATTTCCTCATCACCACCAATTGTAGGAGGAGGAGAAGAAGAAGAAGAAGCTATGCTATTGCTGGAGACTGAAACTCCAACTCATTCTAACGATGTCGTTCCAGATTCCGTTGACTTCTACGGCCGTCCGGTCCTCCGATCAAATTCCGGTCGATGGCGATCCGCTTCTCTCATCATATGTAAATCACATCAATTGATATGCTTTTTCGTTTTTTAGTATTCCGTTATTCATTTCATTTGACATGACCCTGCGTACACATAGTTACTAATATTTTGTGCACTACTTCTTTCGCTACAAATATTTCTGATTAGATTTTTAAAAATTATTAGTTCAATTCTTCTTATAAAAAGAAAAAAAGTGGAATTCACTGTGTTAGTGAAGTCAGCAATTTGTCCTAGTTAGCTGAAACCATGAGCAAAATCTGGATATAGCCTAACTGGAAAAGTTACTTAGATTGGCTGTTTGATATTGACAGCACCAAGTGTATTGATTTGGTGTTTTTTCTTAGGTTTAATTACACTAAACACCTCTATAATATGACTCAGCTTTAGATACCCCTTTTATTTTAGAATTAAAATATTTACACACCCTCTACACTATGAAAATCCTTTAATCTGCGTGTTCTAGATTTCTGCTGTCTCCAATTTGAATTTAGCACTAATTATTCTGAAAAAATGAATTCAAACTTAGTGCACGTCGCAAGATGTAGACAAGTCTGAAACATTTGTTAGTTTTGATCTTCATAATATGAAGTTATGAACTCCATCTTTCATGTTAGGCAGAGAGAGTGCTAGTTACTATTACTATATTGTTATATGGCAGGCGTGGAAATAGCGGAGAGGTTTGCATATTATGGAATAAATTCTAACCTAATTAATTACCTGACTGGGCCACTGGGTCAGTCCACTGCGGCAGCTGCCGAGAATGTGAATGCGTGGTCCGGAACAGCGTCGCTCACTCCCCTTTTGGGTGCTTTGGTGGCTGACTCCTTCCTCGGTCGTTATCGCACAATTGTGTTTGCTTCTCTGTTTTACATTCTGGTAAGTGTTAATCTCTTATTTTTCAAAGTTCTTGGCGTTAGGCACTGAGAAATGGTCCACAAGACCTCAAATCAATATACTTGTATAGGTACTCGGGGTTACTAAAGAAGGTAATATCATTGAGGGATATTGTTCTCTGTAGTCCTTCAATTGATTGCTACGGATTCAATGCTCAATGCTCTAATAACCTTTATCCTATTCTGTTCAAAGTTTTGGTCTTTTGAATTTGAAATGGTGTTGAAAAGCATGATGTGAGTTCACGATATGAGAATTTTGTAGATCGGACATGGATCGTACAAAACTGCCTAAGATCAAGAATTCTCATTGCCTATTTGAATGTTCTTTGAGTTTCCAGCTTGTACCTAATAGAATACAATAGATTGTACCTTACAGAATTATGAACCTTACTCTATCATTGGAATATGCCCCATTCATATAGCCCATCTTTTGGATTTTTTTCTGTTTATATTTTTCTATGATTTAAATTTCTAAACCTCGATTTAACATGTCGTAAGATTTTGAACTGTTTTTGTGGAGGAAAAGCTAGTTTAGGAGCAATACTACCCCCTTTAGCATAGGTGGATTTAGGACCCACCAGCCGCTTCCTCAAGGTTTTCTAAAGTTGAAATTTTAACCTTCAAATGTGTAGGACTTATAGTTGTCTCAAGGGCATGGGTCTAGTAGTAAAAGTGCAACACGTGTTGTGTAGGTTAGGGGCATGTCATGGGTTTGAACCGTGGCACAGACAAAAGCTTGGTATTTATGTAGAAAAGGATAGAGGACCGAGCCCATTATCCACGAGTTTCGAATCATGCGCCACTAGCCCTCGGGGATTTCTTGGTTATCAAAAAATATTTAAGAACTTAGTAATACTTTTTCATATATATTATGTTGGATAAGGTTGAGAGTTTGTAAGGTTTGCCTACTAGAATGTCTTTTGAATTCAGTTAGACAAATATTCCATCTAGAAATGGCAGTCACTTCTACTTGTGCTTTTGATTCGCATGATAACAGGGACTCGGACTATTGACGCTTTCGGCTGTCTTCCCCTTCTTCAGCTCTTCTAACTGCCAAACTACTGATAATGCTGATGCATGTTCTCCTCCTCGACTCCAAGTTGTATTATTCTTTTTCTCTTTGTATCTGGTCGCAGTAGCTCAGGGAGGACACAAGCCTTGTGTTCAGGCTTTTGGGGCTGACCAATTTGATCCACTAGATCCCATAGAATGCAAAGCCAGAAGCTCATTTTTCAACTGGTGGTACTTTGGCATGTGTGGAGGTAATATTGTGACCATCTCGGTTCTGAACTACATTCAGGACAACTTTAATTGGGGTCTTGGGTTTGGCATTCCTTGTGTTGTCATGTGCCTTGCACTTGTCATTTTTTGGTTTGGTACATTAACTTATCGGTTTAGCAGCAGATGTGATAAAATAAGCCCATTTGTGAGAATTGGCATGGTTTTCAACAAAGCAGTGAGAAATTGGCTTGCGACATCTGTAGTGACATCAATAGAAGAAACAAGAGTGCAGTGTCATCAAGATTCCCAGGAAAACAGGTAACCGTTCTCAGTTATAAAATTTTATTGATGTCTTATTGAATAGTCAGATAAGTGGTTAGTTTTATCCAAAAAAGCAAATGGTGTGATATAAATGCTGTTCTTTCTATCTTAACCAGAATATTAGACTATCTTCTGCTGTAAATATAAGACTTGGAAACAGAATTATACTGCATAATACTTCACAGAATGTTAGTCTGTTTATAGGTTTCTGAACAAAGCTTTGCTTGCACCTGATGATCATTCGGCTGAAGATGGCCAAATTTCCAAAATCAATGATGTTGAAGCAGCAAAGGGACTTCTCAGGCTGGTTCCTATATGGGCGTCGTGTTTGATATATGCGATCGTATTTGCTCAAGCATTCACCTTATTTACAAAGCAAGCAGTCACAATGGACAGATCAATTACGCCATCTTTCAGGATACCATCTGCTGCCCTTCAGTCCTTTATCAATGTTTCTATTGTCATTTTCATTCCAATCTACGAGCAGATCCTAGTACCTATTGCGAGAACGATTACTGGAACTCCATCTGGTATTACAAAACTCCAAAGAGTCGGAACTGGGATCTTTTTGTCTGTTCTTACTATGGCAATTGCAGCACTGGTGGAGAAGAAGCGCCTCGAAATTGCACGAGAATATGGATCGGCTGATGTACCAAATGCAACAGTTCCAATGACTATCTGGTGGTTAGTTCCGCAGTATCTTTTAATTGGAATTTCTGATGCATTCACTATGGTTGGTCTTCAAGAATTCTTCTATGATCAAGTGCCTAGAGAATTCAGAAGCATAGGTCTCTCTCTTTACCTTAGTATCTTTGGTGTGGGGAGCTTTCTAAGTAGCTTCCTCATCTTTGTCGTTGAGAAAACAACAGGTGGTAAAGGCGAAGATGGTTGGATTTCAGACAACTTGAACAAAGGACATCTAGATTACTTTTATTGGCTACTTTGTGGAGTAAGTGCTCTTGGATTTATGACATATTTGTATTTTACACGGCGTTATGTTTACGCTCATTGTGGAAAGGTCATCTGAAATTGTTTAAACTGAGGTTTTTATGTTCTTTGAATTTACCAATGAAAAGATAAAACACAAGTCTTGACAAGCATATAATGCCTCATGAACAAGTGGAAACATGACCAATTTGTTCATCACAGATTCCCTTAACAATTAACAGAGTATTGGTTGCGCTCATCACAGATTTCCATATGGAGTACGTGTTCGGGATAAGCATTTTTTTATTGGTATAACCATTTGGTCTCCATAATTCATTGGCCCGACTAATCCAAATTCTCGCGGATGAACGACAAAAAAAGGACACTTTGGTGCCACTATTGGTTTTTTTACCCACTTGCCCCATGAGCAACACTTCAAGTTTAACAAGTGTTGCCTCTTGCTTGCCCCATAGACAACACATTTGACTTTGTACATTAAAGGTTCAACCAGCGGGTCAAAAAGTCAAGAGTGACTATTTTCAACATCATTAGGTGTAATTTCCTGAACTCGCGCTGCGTAGGCCAATTTAAAGGGGAAGCACTACCTACCAAGAGTTTCTCTTTCCTATCGCTACATAAGCAAATTTTGTTATCATAATCATCCACTTTATATACCAAGCATGGTTGGTCTGCAGGAATTCTTAAATATGAAGAGAACTGAATAGTTTGTCGTAACAATAATAAGACAAGTTTTATATGAAATGCTTCTAGCAGCTTGGATAGAAGAGGAAGCAAAAGTATGTAGCAATTTTGAAAATACTTATTGGTGCATGTGGAATCATGTGATCTTTTATCTTCATTCTTTTACCCCCTTTAAAAACCAAAAAACTTCAACTACAATTGATAAATGTAACAAGGTCAGATCCAGATAAGCCAGGTTCTTGTAAAACCTTAATTTTGGGTTTAAGGTTTTTATCAATGTGAGAAAATAAATATGTTGGACAGCACAGGCCCAATAAACGACTGGCCCAATTATAGCTGAAGCAGCCTCTTTGTACATGTTATACTCTTTTATGTAATAGACACATTTTGTAGTAGCTAGCCACATTTTGCATTTACTTGATAGCCACTTCCACTTGTATATAAACAAATAGATGATTCTCGAATAAAACAAGTGAGACATTTTCATTTCAATAGATCAGATATTTTCTCTCTCTTCGTCTCTCTTCTCCTTCTCTGATAATGGAGTTTGTACAATAATCGAGCTCTCTTGTCCGAGTCGAGCGATGTTACCCTCGACCTTAGTTTTACAAGTTTCGGTTTCACATACAAACCCTAATAATCCAAAATTTGGGGTTTTACGGATATTGTGGCCGATTACTTCAAAGATGAAGCTTTAATGATGTTGTCCATGGAGTTTTGACTGAATTTTAAAGCCTTGACAGTTTTCCACCATTTCAGAGGAAGAGCGGTATCATCTACTCTCACTCCTATCCGTTACTGTATATATGTGATCCTGCTTTGAAGTTTTCTTAGAAATATCATTTGATTTTAGAAATACCAGGTGTTATCATGACCATAGATGCTGAAACTACGTCTTCGTCCGTCTCCTCTGAAGGTTTTGCTACTTTTAGTCTAGATCCTTCTCACCCTTTCTATGTTCATCCGTCGGATAGTCCTGATACTCATTTAGTTTCTCCTCCGTTTGATGGTACTGATTTTGTCGCGTGGAGGAAAAGTATGCTTGTTTCTCTGTCTGCCAAAAATAAACTGGGCCTGATTAATGGTCGGCATGATAAACCTTCAGTAGATTCTCTCTATTATCCCTTTTGGAAAATATGCAATAACATGGTGATCGCTTGGATCACTAATTCTTTTTCTAGGGAGATTTCTACCAGTGTATTGGGGTACGACACTGATAGGAAAATCTGGTTAGATATAAATGAAAGATTTGGACAGTCTTATGGGTCCAAATTCATTCAGATTCAGAGGAAAATTGACACTATCTCTCAAGGGACTTCAGATATTGCATCATACTTTACTAGGTTGCGAAATCTTTGGGATGAAATGAGTACTGCATATGTATGTCCTGTTTGTTCTTGTGGTGCATTACCCAAGTTCATTGAAGAACTCAAGCTCTTTTGCTTCTTAGCTGGCCTTAATGAATTTTACTCTATAGTTAAGAGTAACATTCTTTTGATGACTCCACTCCCTACTGTTAGTAGAGCTTATTCTATGCTACAACATGATGAGAAACAAAGGGAATCTTCTCACACACCAGGCTCTCCAACGAGTCAGTTTCTTTCTCTGCATCTTCTACACCTTCTGGTAATCAGAAAACTTTTAATCAAAGGGATTAGTTTGAGTCAAGAAAGCCTGGGCAAGGTGTGAAAATATCATGCAAATATTATAAAAAACCAGGGCACACCATTGAGAAGTGCTACAAGCTGCATGGATTCCCTCTTGATTTCAAATTCACACGGTCTAAAAGGTTTGCCTCATGTGTTTATGCTGGCACTTCATCTATTGAGTCTTCAGTTCAAGCTCCTCTTTCCCAACCTGTGACTTCATCAACTTATGGTTTAAGCCAGGATCAATATCAACATCTTGTCTCTCTTCTACAATAAGCAAATATTTCTCCTGGTACCAATGACAATGGTTCTTCTGGAGAAACTTTTGGCTATGCTCACTTTGCAGGTTTGTTGAAAAGTTCTATGGTTAATTCTATTGATTTTCATGTTTGTGCATCTTCTCAGTTAAGTGATGATACTTGGATTTTAGATTCTGGGGCTACTAACTACATGACACCTCATAAACAGTTTCTTCACAATTTAAAACCATTACCTAAGCCATTCTTAATCACTCTTCCTAATGGTTATAAAGTCAAAGTTGTCTCAACTGGATCTTTACACCTTAGGGCTGACATAATGTTACATAATGTCCTTCTTGTGCCTTCTTTTCAATTTAACTTGATCTCAGTATATCAACTTCTTCTTTAACTTAATTGTCTTGCAATACTCACCATTTCTAATTGCTACTTATAAGGCCCTTCTCTGAAGTGGCCACTGGAAATTGGTAAAGTTACTAATGGTCTGTATTTTCTCCACCTTGATGATACTGCTCCATCATCTATGTCAGTCCCATTTGCTGTTTACAATGTTTCTGATTTTACTGCATCTTCTTGCCCTATTTTTTCTAATCAGTCTTGTAATGTTTCTACTTCTGCACTTAATCCTGTAACTCCTTTTCCCTTTGCTCCCCATTGTAATTCAATTTCTAGTATCAATAAAACTGATCTATTTTGGCACCAAAGACTAGGCCACATACCTTTTGCTAGAATGAAATCTATTCCATTTGTTTCTAGCAAGGTTTCTTCTAAACAATCTTTTATTTGCTCTATTTGTCCTATGGCTAGGCAACAAAGATTACCATTTACTGATAGCTCCATCTTTTGATATCTGCTCCTTTCCAGTTAGTACACATTGACATTTGGGGACCCTACAACACTAATACCTTTGATGGTTTCAGATATTTCTTGACTTTAGTAGATGATTTTACAAGAATCACCTGGACCTATCTACTTTCATGCAAGGGTAATGCTTTATCTATTATTAAAGCTTTTATTTCTATGGTAATCACACAATTCCACACTTCAGTTCAAAGTTTTAGATCTGATAATGCTTTTGAGCTTGGTACTAGTTCTGAGGCCAAATCCTTTTTCTCTTCCCAAGGTATTTTGCACCATACCACCATTCCACACACCCCACAACAAAATGGGGTTGTAGAGAGAAAACATAAGCACTTACTGAAAACATCTTGTTTCAATCTAACTTACCTTCCAAATATTGGGGTGATTGTGTCTTAACTGCTACCTATCTTGTCAATAGATTCCCTTCTACTGTTTTGAATAACATCTCACCTTATTAAAAACTTCATGGTCACCCTCCTTCCCATGATCATCTCAAGTCCTTTGGTTGCTTATATTTTGCCACCTCACCTAAGTTTGGGAGGGATAAATTCCAATCTAGGGCCATTTCTTGCATCTTTCTTGGTTATCCTTGTGGAAAGAAAGGATACAAACTGTTGAATTTATACACTCATTCCATTTTCTACTTTAGGGATGTTGTATTTCATGAGTTTGTCTTTCCTTATGCTTCCCCTTCTTCTCCTATTTTCACAGCTCCATCTCCTCATTTTGTTGACACTCCTTCTTACACCTCTTCTGCTCCATTAGTCTCCACTTCCTCATCTTCTCCAATTTCTGCCCATGTATCTACTCCTCTTCCTGATCTTTCCTCTTCTGTTGCACCTTGTGCTCCTCCACCTCTTAGGAAGTCCCTTAGGGTGAGTAATCCTCCTCCCTATCTTTCTGATTATTCCTGTTCTAATGTTCAGTCTTCTTCCCCTCCTAACTCTAAGCTATCCACTGCTGAACTACACTTGTATGAGCCTCACTTTTACCAACAGGATGCTTCCCATCGTGCTTGGCAAGAGGCAATGCTAAAGGAATTTGAAGCTCTTGAGGCTAATCACACTTGGGACATAGTCTCTCTTCCTCCCAACAAGAAGCCCATTCCTTGCAAATGGGTATATAAAATCAAGCAGAAATCTGATGGTTCTATTGAGAAGTACAAGGCTAGGTTGGTGATTAGAGGGGATACTCAAAAAGAGCACATTGACTACAATGAGACTTTTTCCCCTGTCGTTAAATTCACTACCATTAAATGCCTCCTCTCCCTTGTTGCCAAGAAGGATTGGACAGTCTACCAACTCAATGTAAATAATGCTTTTCTTCATGGGGATCTAAATGAAGAAGTATACATGAAAGTTGCCCCTGGCTTGCAAGTTTCTGCTTCTTCTACACAGTTTTCCTCTACTTATCCTCTAGTTTTCAAGCTCAAGAAGTCTTTGTATGGCCTCAAGCAGGCTTCTAGATAGTGGTTCTATAAACTGTCTGAAGCTCTGCTCTCTAGAGGCTACATTTCAAGCAAAAATGATTATTCCTTATTCACAAAATCTGTTGATGGGTCTCTCACTGTACTGGCTGTTTATGTTGATGACATTTTGTTGGCTGGGGACAACATTTCTGAGTTGGACAGTGTCAAAACCTTCCTAGATGCACACTTTAAGATTAACGATTTGGGTTCCATTCATTACTTCTTGGGTTTAGAGG